CGGGAGCGATGAGCTACATTTAGAAATGAAGCCTGTGGAGAATCTGTTAGGCGGAGAGTGCCTCCGCGTTTGTTCTAACTTCCTCGATGTGATAGTTCTGGGGTGTTGTTGGGACCCTCGTGGATTTCGAGTTAGACACACGAATTATGCACACGATAGTCCATAGAGCAGATGCCGTTGAGAAGGGCTTGAGGAGAGCACCCCAGGCTCTACGTACACCGTAGCCGTGGAGATTAGACCGTCCGTAGACGGCATCGGCAAGCTGATTGTTCTCTACAGTTTCACAACACATGAAGCGTCAATATAGTCTTCGCTGTGATCAGCTGAAGCTCAACATAGGCTAACCATGAATGCGGCTCATGGGCGCGGCATTTTCTAGGCGGCGCGTCACGCGTGCTGAGTTGGTGTTGCAGTTATGGGGAAATGCACCTTCGGCCTACATCGGAGCTTCCCTCTACGGTGTACGGGATGCCAGCAAAATGGGCAAGCCGCCAGGTACTCGTCGTGACGGATATATCTGTTTCCCCTCTAGGCATGGGAATTGGTGCTTCGGCGTTCTGTGCAGCCGCTGGTGTGGTCGTTGCGGATCTGTCAGCATGGAGAAAATGGCTCGTTCTTTTCCCATATATTCCTTTCATTTGTGCATCCTGCTTTTTAATTGATGGTATCTCTCCCTTCGCGTCAGGTCCCCTGCTTGTTGGCCTCTGAGTACAGCGCATGTTATTCTAGGAGTGGTGGTGGATATCTGCAAATATCCTGTGAAGCAACAAAGATGGAAAACACTTGTTGAGGAATTGTGCTATATTCGTTTCCCACCCCACCTGCGCAGTATATCGAATTCAGGTTTTTACGGTAGGAATTCTTTAACAAGACGAGAGACGGATAAGCTGCTAGTTCACCGAAGCGCAACCAGCGTTATCTGAGGCAGAAGCAGAGTGGACGACGAAATATCCATTCCTTTACCTCTCGCATGCTAAAGGAGTGCTCTGCGTCAAGCGTTGCGATTCAGCGTTCTGTGTGGGGTT